AAACCTCCCCGGCTTGTCCAGGTGGCTTAAAAGTCTGCGGGAGCGAAGGCGCTGTGCAAAGACCTCGGCGCGGCGGTTTGGGGGCGCCTTTGCCGGATCCTTCCGGCCGCGGGCGGGGGAGCCGAGCCAGCCGAGGGGCGGTGCCCTGCGCCCGGGAGCAGGAAGGCGGCTTTAGGCTCCCGCCAAGTCGCGCCTTCCTTCCTCCTCTTGCTCCTCCTCCAACCTCCGTTCGCTCCGCCTTGCAGACGCCGCGGGGAGCGGCGCCCGCCAGGACCCGGTGAGAGCTGGGAGTTTAGGAGTGGGGATTGAGGGTGCCCCAGCTGGCTAGCCGCCCCCCCTCGCCGGGCTGGGGAAGTGGAGGATCGCGGGGACCGCGGCTTGAGAGCGCGATCCGGGTCTCCCGCCTGTAGCCCTCTGCCCCGGGGTTAGCGTAAGGGGTGTCTCCAGCCTCCGAGTCACTGGGACGCGGCTGCGAGCCCACGAGAGACAGGATTGATCCCCACCCCCAAATGTACCTTCGCCACCACCCTCACGCGCACTACCACTAGATTTGGTAAAAGGGTAGCCAGCCCCACCCCGAGACGCTGCCCCTTCTTCGGGAAACCTGGCGGGGAAGACGTCGAGCCTCACCTCCTCCCTAGGGTTACTGAACATGGGTGCCCTCCTTCCACCCAGTCCCCCACTCCGTCGCTGCAGAGAGGACAGCTGCCAGTTCCAAAGGTGGATTCTTCTCCCCAAATTAATGACTCCCCTCGAGTTCCCATTTCTCAGCCTCTGTGCCTTCTGGGGCGTGGAGCCACCTGCCCACCTGCGTCTTACTCCCTTCCTCCTGTCCTTGGGTCCCCCTCATCTTTGTCTTCAAAGATGAAAGGCTGGACCCTGGTGGGGAAGGGGCGGCCAGGGTAGTCTGGAGGCCCTCTGCGGTGCCCTTCCCCAGCCGGAGATGCGCTCCCTCCTCCCAGTTGGACGTTCGAGGTAGCCTTTAGTCCAGGGAGGCGCGGGGGTGGGAGAGCCAGGGGATTTATTTGGAGCCTTGGAAGAGGAGGGGCGGGGTGACTGGTGTTGGCTTGGCTCAGCCCTCAAGGCGTGGAGAAGGCGGGGCACTTCTTGACAGCACAAGATCAAAGCTTTCCCTTCTCCCGAGACTTCTCTTTGCCTGGGGAGGCTCCTCGGAGGAAAGAGTGACTATCGCGTCAGGGAATTGGTGGCAAGTAGCTTTAGACGGCTGTGGCCCATGACTGTCTTCCCACACTCACCCCATCGAACTCCCTAAGCCGGTCTGGGTGGCACTTGAATTTCTCAGGTCAAAAGAGACCTGTGAAGGGAACTGGGCTTGTTTCTGCCGGCTGCAGAGATGAAATTAGGGGAACTGAGTGCTGGGAGCATCCGAAGGTCAAGATCTATGCCAGAGGCAGCTTCAAAGACAGAATGTGTGTGTGTGGGGGGGGT